CAATTGTGTACAAAAAGGACCTCTGAATGACATCCTAAGGGGAGGCTTTCTTATAACAAGAGAAACAAAGAGACCAATTCAACATGAAGCTACCTTTCTAGGATTGTGGCTAAGGATATATACTTTAAGAAGCACTCATAATTATAGTGTTTTGCTTTGACCAAGGGGCTTTGGAAAACAGTAAGGGATACTGTGAGAAGCATTATTATAAAGGCAAGGAAGAGATGTCCTTCATTCAGCCCAAAGGAAAAGAAACAACACAGTCTTGTTCAGATCTAAACTTTAAACCATTATGCAAATGCAAAGGATAAGCTTCAATTTAGGCATTTTAAAAGTTTCTTATGCTTGGCTAACCTAAGGACACAAATTCAGCTTGCACACAAATATATTCTTTACTTGCCCATTTTTGAATTAGTAGGCTGCATTCCATAAGAATCAAATCCATCCCAAGTTCTATTTTCTTTTTCCTCTACTCCTACTTTTTTTTCTTTACTAATAAAACTAAACCTCCCCCACAAAAAAAAAAAATCTCAGTTAAAGATGGTAAAGGTAAAGGTTCCCCTCGAACATATGTGCTAGTCGTTCCCGACTCTAGGGGGCAGTGCTCATCTCCGTTTCAAAGCCAAAGAGCCAGCGCTGTCTGAAGATGTCTCCGTGGTCATGTGGCCGTCAAAGGCGCACGGAACACTGTTACCTTCCCACCAAAGGTGGTTCCCTATTTTTCTACTTGCATTTTTTATGTACTTTCTAACTGCTAGGTTGTCAAGAGCTGGGACAAGTAACGGGAGCTCACTCCATTACGTGGCACTAGGGATTCGAACCACTGAACTGCCGACCTTTCGATCAACAAGCTCAGCATCTTAGCAACTGAGCCACCGTGTCCCTTTTAATTAAAAATGAGTAGAAGATAAATTGTTTGTAGTGTTGTCATATTTTATTACATATTAGTATGAAAATGAGGTAGCTGTAAAGAACATCTGGAAGTGTTCTATGCTTTAAACATCTACTGTGCTTCCTCAGTAGCATGTCTGAAATGCATTTGGTGCACCAGTAGTCCCCATTCATAGATCAGGGGCACTTCAGATGGTCACCCATGTCCTTCCAGAGACAAGGTTCTTCCATCTTTAGCCCTGGGTGGGTTTGTACTACTCCAAATGGACCCGGTGTGCAATCTGGGGATCCTCCTAGACTTGTGCTCAAAAAACAGCTGGCAGCCATGGCTAGGAAGGCCTTTGCACACCTTGGGATGGTGTACTAGTTCTTGAAGCAGGAGGCTCTACTCACTGTAACTCATGCCCTTTTAACATCTTATTTAGACTACTGCAGCATGCTCTACATGGGCCACCCTTGAAGAGCATTCAGAAAATTCAACTGGTACAGAACATGGTTGTACAGGTATGGTTCCAAATATACAACATGCATAGCACAACTTCTGCAGGAACTGCATTGGTTGTGCCAGTATGTTTCCAGGTGCAATTCAAGATGCTGGTTGTCACCTTTAAAGCTCTACATGACTCCAGACCAGTTTACTTGAGGGATCACCTTTTTCCAAGAATCTCTACCAATACAACTTGATCTAGCAGAGTTGGGCATGCTCCCATAATATCTGCCTAGCTGGGTTGATATGCTCCAAATTCCTTTGATTAAACAATGTCATCTTTCAGGACCCATAATCATACTTTTAATAGCATCTCTGGAACAATGTTCTCTCCAAGATCTTGATGGACCCCACTCTGCTGTTGTTTAGAAGTGTCATGAAGCCCAGGCTCTTCACCCAGGCCTTTGGCAAGGGGGAGTGAGATACACCCTCCGCACTTTGCTTGCCATATTTTCTTTGTTTTTATATTTTAGTTACTTTATTGTAATTTCTTTGATTGTTATGAGCGGCCCATAGTCATGTTGAGTTGTGCAGCATACAAGTTTAATAAATTATTATCATTTTTATATATGCAAAAGAGTGTTGTGCAGGGGGAAAAGGTGAGTTGGACTGCCCACAGGTATATGTGTTGTACCTGCCTACATCACCTTAAATACAATTTATTTTTCCTGAAATCAGACAGCAGTAACCATGAGAATCAGGAAAAGACAAAGCTTCTTTGGATTTGATTTAAAGTAATGTCCACGTGCGTGATGTGCATTCTCACACATGGTACATATCACCTTTTCCTTTTTAAATCCAGATCACTGCACAACCCTGGTAGAGAATGCAGCTCTATCTGTGCACAGGTGTTTCCATGCACCTGCCATTCATACTTTCATGTTTGCTATGCAAAAAAGCTCTGTAAGTGTGACAACAGGCCATTATAGGTAATACAGTTAATGAAAGAATTAATCCAACTTCTATTGTGGAAAAGAATTGACGGTGTGGCTAAACTACCTAGAATTGACGGTGTGGCTAATCCAACACATTCACAATCCAACCCCTCTTAAGAAAACTGGCTACAGAAAGCTAAATAGGGCATTATATTAAATAGAAGAACAAAAGGGTGAACTATGATATAGAGGGTTTTTGTTAAAGTAATAATCAACAGTACCTTATAACGCGTCCATTTTCTACATAATACTGTACTCTGAAGAATGCAACCAAAGGAGGGATGAACTTTTCTGTTCCCTTTGAAATAAAAACAACAAAAGAGAAGTCAAACAATGTCATATCTATCTATCTATCTATCTATCTATCTATCTATCTATCTATCTATTATATCTATCTATCTATCTATCTATTATCTATCATCTATCTATCTATCTATCTATCTATCTATCTATCTATCTATCATCTATCTATCATCTATCTATCTATCTATCTATCTATCTATCTATCTATCATCTATCTATCTTCTATCGTCTATCTATCATCTATCTATCTATCTATCTATCTATCTATCTATCTATCTATCGTCTATCTATCATCTATCTATCTATCTATCTATCTATCTATCTATCTATCTATCTATCTATCATTTATCTATCTCATTTAAAGGTCTTCCTGGGTCTAATTCTTTGAGTTTTATTCTCAGTTCATTTTGAAGCTATGCAACCATCAATCAACTCTTGTGCCTACTGACACAACTGATTCCAAACAGAGGATCCCAAACAACAATCTGCAGGTTTTATTTATGAAAAGCATTAAACTATTCCTGAACCTCACTCTGCACTAGTTTGATTTTCTGTAACAACAGAGATTAAAATTGTTTGAACTACAGCCAGATTGTAGTGGATAGCTGCCCTTCAGTTTTTAAGTGAAATAAAAGGAAAACCAAAAGAAATAGTTTTCTAATAGGCACCTATCGGCCTGAGCTTTCCAGCAAGTGACAAATACCTGTGTGTTGATACTTACTCGTATTTTATTTACAATTTTATTTTAATATTTAATATTAAATATTTAATATTAAATATTAAACTTCTTCTACTTTAGTCTCTGTCTTTTTAATACTGATTTCTGATAGACCCTACATAATCAAACCCACATATTTAACCAGGTATGTTCCAGCCAACATGAAAATGTGGCTGCCAAAGTAGATAGATAAAATTAAAACTTGAGTCCCATAATGGCAGTGGCACCACAATCAGTGAAGCCTAAATTTAAATAACATAAATAAATAATAACTGAAAAAGCTTGCTGTACTTACAGCAAAACATTGTAAACACAAGCAAATACAGAACACTAAATATTGGGACAAAAACAAGCCAGGATATTTTGGATCAGTTTTTCATTGAATGACATATTTCCTCAACAATCACCAACGTACATTCATATTTAGCATAGGACTTATTTCTGAGTAGGAAGGCAGTGTGGCATAGTGATTACAATGTTGGATTGGCACTGGGGAGATCCAGATACAAGTCTAGTTGTAGCTAGATCCAGATACAAGGTACCCTACCTCAAGCGATTATTCTTGTAGAAAAAAAGGAGAAGGAAAAAATGCCACACACACACGTGTGTGCATAGAGAGCCATTTTGGTCTAATGGTTAAGGCACCAGGCTGGAAAGCAAGAGACTCGAACCATGAGTTCAAGTCTTGCCTTAGCCATGAAAACCAACTGGGTGACTTTGGGGCAGTCATTCTCTCTCACCCCCATGTTGTAATAATGAGGAGGAAAGTATATTGGATATGTTTGCTGCCTTGAGTTATTTGCAAAAAAAATAACAAAGGCATAATATAAATACATATATACTATTGCCCAGGAGTTTGAATAAAAGTCAACATATAAATCTAACAAACAAATAACTAAAGCGTAGGATCGCATTGTTAGAATTTTAGAATGCTTCATGAAAAGAAAAATCATTGGAGCAGACAAATGTACGTGGGCTATAAAACTGACATTGGACCCAAGTTATAACTAATTTTAGTTCAATCAGATGCAGCCTCAGCAATACAACACAGAAAAGTCTTCAATGTTACAAATACACACTGAAGGACTTACTCTGTTTCCTTCTTTCTTCCACTCCTTTACGAAATATTTACAAAGTTTCTGCTCCAGATCAATAAATACATATTCATTATCTAAAAGAGAGAGAGAATAAATGTTAGGAGGAACATCTGAAATTATTTAAATGCTCATGATTTTATATAAAGAGAATTTTATGAAATACAGTTCTTGCAAGCCAACCAGATTAATAACATTATTTGACATAAATTGTAAGTTTACCATGCACATATATATGTTAAAATTCATTTTACATAGCCATCCACCCTCCTGCCAGCTTTTCCCTAGCATAAATATCACTATAAGGTGAAACTCTGCATTGTATGAAGATGGTATATTTCAAATTGTAATTTTCCAACTATATACAAAGATAAAGAAAGCCCCAGCAATTACAGGCTCAATATAATACAACTAGTTTCATCAGGTGGCTGATGTTTTATCAGGACCACAATCATTTGGAGGGTTTCCGTGGGTTGGGATGTGGCTACAATAATCTTACTATAATCTCTCTCCATTTCACTGCTAAGAAAAGTTGGTATTTCCTAAGAACAAATCTCCCATTGGTATTAATCAGGAATTTTGCCTACAATGAGTTCATGCAAAAACCCTTTTCAGAACTGAAAAAAGGAAGAACTACTCACCTTAAACTCTTTTTGCAAGGATCCCATTAATTATTAGCCAGCTAAAGTTGTTTAGGTCTAGGGGGAAACTCCCTGTTACGCTTTATCTGGGTAATATGTCCGGATAAACCCTCCCTCCCTTCCCTTCCCTTCCCTTCCCCTCCCTCCCTCCCTGAGCTAGCCTTGTGGGTTCCACCTAGGAGATTAGCTCCCGTGTTGTTAAGAATTGGTCTTTGAGACTATTTTGTACCTAAAGAGGAATTTAGGTGTTTAATTGCTTGGGTGGAGGAAGGATTGGGAAGACCAAACATAGGAGCCAAGCAGGATTTCTTTGCACCAAAAGTCAAACTTCGTGACTCACTAAGCCATTTTGAAATTTCTGTAAACACCAAGTGACCTGCCTGCCCTCCTCTGCCAAGTGCCCCCCCTCCTTTTACTCCTCCATCCCCAACCTGTCCCCAGTCTCACCCTGCAGTTGCCGCCTTCGTGCAGGAATGCAACCTTACATTCCAACTCTAATGAGGTTAATGTTGTCAAAATGCCAACTTGCAGGGTAATCCTCCGGCTACAAAACACCCCCAGCTCAGCTGTCCCCCCCACCCCACCCAGCTCCACCTTTCACAAGAAAAGCAGTGTGCAAGAATGTGTATTTCCAAGATTAAAGGTAAAGTTTAGAGATCCTTGTCACATGCTTAGGTTCCCTTCTCTTTTGGGGCAGGAGGGGAGATATGTTCTCCTGAAAAAAACGACACCTGAATAATCATTTAATTAAGGTGGCCTGTTTGGGAGTTGTGTTGTATGTGGGGGGGAGAAGACAGGCCTGCAAATAACTGATACCAAGTCTAATCCTGCTGAAAACATCCCCTTTCAACAAAATGTGTGTGGGGGGGGGGGGTTCATTTCTGTTCATGGCGTGGCCACAACCACAAATGACAGCTCTATCCATTCTCTTTCCAACCAAGTCTGATGCAATTGGGAACATGGATGGTTATAATCTCCCTTGGACTATTCTGACTAAAAAAAAAAAGAGGGCCAGGGCAGAAATCAGACTAGGGTGAAAGTAAATCCTTTAGAAATAATAATGAGCAAGAAAGCAAGAAAGACTCCTTGGAGGTCATGTCTAAAGCCCACTGACTCAGCGTGACTGGACGGCACAGATTTGGAAGAAAAGCTGATTTTAAAAATGCATGTGACTTCTTGGGAGACCACAAATGTAATTCTGAAGTGTGTAATTCTCATTTTAAATGACAGGTGAATAACAAGTTTCATCCAGGAAAACACTCGTTTTAGTCTAGGATTGTGCCTAGTGGGCAAGGTTCAAACTGTCACGTATATAGGTACTTTTGCATTATATTCATGTAAAAATGCAAAATCTCTATTTTTGAACACAGAGAACACAAAGAATTCAAATTCAAAGAATGCAGCCGCGCGGGTGATTATGGAAGCGACACGGCGCACCCATGTAACACCTCTCCTGCGCGAGCTGCGCGAGCTGCACTGGCTCCCGGTGGTCTTCCGGGTGCGATTCAAGGTGTTGGTTACCATCTTTAAAGCGCTCCATGGCTTAGGACCTGGATACCTACGAGATTGCCTTCTGCTACCGATAGCCTCCCACCGGCCAATACGTTCCCACAGAGAGGGACTCCTCAGGGTGCCGTCAGTCAAACAATGTCGACTGGCGACCCCCAGGGGGAGAGCCTTCTCTGTGGAGGCACCTGCCCTCTGGAATGAATTGCCCCCGGAGATACGGATGATCCCTGACCTACGCGCCTTTCGCCGTGTCCTCAAGACCTTATTGTTTCAACAAGCTGGGCTGGCCTAAACATGAATTTTAATGGTTGTTTTAGTTTTTTTAATAAGATTGGGGCCAAATTATTTAATATATTTTTAAATTGCTTTTAAATTTTTTGTATATATGTGTTTCAGTGTTGGCTGTGCACTGCCCTGAGTCCTTTGGGAGAAAGGCGGTATAAAAATTTAAATAAGAAATAAATAAATAAATAAATTTATATTGAGATGCAAACCAGAGAGGAAATAATGTATTTTGAGGGCCAAATCCTGATCCTCCTGCTTAACTATTAATTTCTACATGAATAAACTATGGCAAAGGATTATTATGTTCTTACTGATGCTAAATGAATTGAGATAAAGAAGATGTTAACCAATTGATAATCATTATCTTGGGTCAAAAGAGATAAACTGAATAGGGATTATTAACACATAACGTTAGATAACCACCCTCCAGACAGTCTAAACTCAAACATTTTTGGACAAAGCAATTGGACCAGACCCACTCATTGTGGGCTTTCATTCAGGGTGTGGAAATGTGTGAGGTTCCATACATAGTCGCTGCTACTGGGCCACTGACTTCAATGGATAAAAAACACCAGTGGATTTTCCTTCTCCCAGGGACATCAAATACACAGAGAAGAAAGCAGAGGCAATGCTCAAATAAAAATTCTGATCCCAGGTTTTCAGATCTCAGTCCCCATATTCTTTTGCCATTGGCCATGCTGACTGAAGTTGATTGAAGCCATAACTTTGAAGAATATCAAACTGTCTACAGCTGACATGCAAAACCTGAGAATGTTCATTTGAACCTCAGGAATACTTCACCATTATATTTTGAGGGAGACTTTCTTTTAAAAAAAGTTCACAGTAATACTCTGACATCTAAGAGAGGAAATACCCCAGTGATGGGTTGCTGCGGTTCGGACCAGTTCGCAAGAACCAGTAGTAAAACCAGCGGGAGGCCCCACCCACTGACCTGGATGTCATCATCGGCGATCTGCACATGCGCAGAAGCTTTGTGAACCGGTAGTAAAAGTAAGTAGAACCCACCCCTGAAATATTCATATAATGAATGAATATTTGTGGAGAGAATACAAATTCCACATAACAGTCCATCCAGTGTCTACAAAATACTGGCTGAACCAGACATCCAAACACTGAGGGTCGGTTTTCTCTTATAGAATCTCTTTTTGAATTATATCACATGCAAATATTCCCAGGGTATCAAGGTGACGAGGATTAGCTACAAAAATGCTGTTTAATATGTTGGAATGATTTGTAAGCCTTTCCCATGGCATAATTTAATAAAGTTCAAAGTCCTTCAGATTTTTGTAGAAACAACATTCTTTGTAAGTTATGAAAGAAACTGACTTTGTGATGACTTTGCAAATAGCGAGCCTTGTTACACAAACAATGCTTTAAATTCTACCTAGAGGTGAAAAGAAATGTTGGCAGAAAGAATAGCTGAAGGTAGGAAAGAAGAGGGAGAAAGAAAGAGAAATATGTGCAAATAAAGAGACTCCTCCTTTATCATATATGTATATATTCACAGGTTAGTGATGGGAGGGTGTTGAGATCAGTGGTGAAATCCAATTTTTTTTACTACTGGTTCTGTGGGTGTGGCTTGGTGGGCGTGGCTTGGTGGGCATGGCAGGGGAAGGATACTGCAAAATCTCCATTCCTACCTCACTCCAGGGGAAGGATACTGCAAAATCCCCACTCCCTCCCCACTCCTGGGGGAAGGATATTGCAAAATTTCCATTCCCACCCCACTCTGGGGCCAGCCAGAGGTGGTATTTGCCAGTTCTCCAAACTGCTCAAAATTTCCGCTACCGGTTCTCCAGAACCTGTCAGAACTTGCTGGATTTCACCCCTGGTTGAGATGTCTTTCATGCCCGCTTAAATCTCTCTTAGTTCAGGCTATCAATATCTGTCAAATAATTGATCTTACTTTTTACAATGCTGATGCCAAAGAAGTGAGGGTCTTTAATTTTCAGTTCATCACAAACTTGGTCAAAGAGTTCCTGTCCTGTAGCTTTTACCTGCAACACAAAAAATAGTATTTAAGCTGTTTAGAGTAGGGTGTTTCAAGTCCATCACAACTATGCACTCCTTTGCATTATGGCACTATGGATATGATTGGAACACACTGCTACAGAATAAAGTTGCGGATTATTGAAGCATTTGTGGTAGGATTCCAGAGCAATGATTATTATGAATTATTTTTCACTTTAATCAAATGCCTTAAATTAGCTTAATACAATATTAATTTCTAAACGTTTTAGCAATGAGTCATGGTATTGCTACATAGTAAAACAATGAGGTACAGTATTGTGTGATATCCTGCTCTGCTGTTGTACACCTGAAGGATAGGACAAACAGTGGATATTGTATATATCAGAACACTATGATCCACTGCTTGTTGGTTCACACAATACACCAAGCCAAAATGTGATTTGCTTGGTTTGGTTTAATTTGTTCTATGAGTCTAATCATCTATGAGTTAAGTATAACTCATCAATTAATATTATAATGATTTAACATCTCAGAACTTTTATGTTCTTCACTAAGAGTTGTAAGTGATTCAGGTATAAAATGACACATAGACTATGTTCACTTGGCACTGAACCTATCTAATTCTATCTTGGGGTAAAAATGCCCTGCATCAAGAGTGCTTGATCGAAGATATCCCAATCAAATTAAGTTTGCCCATATTTGATGAACTTCCAGATACAGTGAGATGGCTGAGAGACTATCAAATCTTCCTGTATTGCTTCCCAGGTTAAACATACAGAAATTATTTTATTGCAAACAATGAAGAAGCCTTACGGAATACTGCAGGAAATCTGCCTACTCCACATCCTACTCCAGATCTACCTACACCAGATATCATGCCTTACATATATACACCAGCCCAAGGTTGAAATCCTAAGCCTTTTCACTCTGCCCTTTCAAATTAACAGACTTTGAACATGGTTTTCTAAGGTACCTCTTTCATTATTATACAATGGTTCAACATGGCCTCAGCATGGCTGATTCTTGCTTCAGTAGATCAGTGGTGGGTTGCCCCCGGTTCGCACCGGTTCTATAGAACCGGTAGTAAAACTGGCGGGAGGCTCCGGCCACCGACCCCAATGTCATCAAAATGCTTCTGCGCTTGTGCAGAAGAGCGTACGTGAGAGCAAAGTGAGCAAGCGTGCTCAGCCCCGCTGCAAACCTGTAGTAAAGGTAAGTAGAACCCACCCCTGCAGTAGACCCATATCCTACAAGTCCAGGAGTAAGTATTTAAAAGGGTTTTAATTTAATCAATTAAGTAATAATTACTTAATTGGCCAAGGTTGCATGGGCTTTAGGTCTAGAAATTATCTGCAGGTGACCAGGTTAGCAATAGCAATAACAATCACAATACTTAGACTTATATACCACTTCACAGTGTTTTATAGCCCTCTCTAAGCAATTTACAGAGTCAGCATATTGCCCCCAACAATCTGGGTCCTCATTTACCTAGGTTACCGATTCGTGCTTTCCAATAAACTCTGTTTTATATTTAATGTGTGGCAAGTCTTGATCTGAAACCAACAAACCAGGGTTTGAAATTGAAGCTTGTCCTAATTGCATGTTACTGTTATGTCTGAATTAACACCCTTTCTCTTTTGACTAGACCTCAGCTCCATCTCAGAGAACTTTTGTATCTGCTCCACCACAAGAATACAAAATCATCCAGATGGAAATGAAGCTATGAATCTTTGCTTCTATAGATGGAAAACAAAACAACTGAACAATGGAAAACTACGGCTGTTAAATACACCATATTTTCAAAGCTATGGAAAAGAGAATTCAGCCATATCTTAATTCTCATCCTATACTCAATGATGCTGGGAGGAACAAATGAGGAAGGAATGATAATTCCTAATTCTGAACAATTACAGAAATGGCTAAATATAAGTATTTACCCCAAAGGGAGATAATCCATTGTTACAAAAGGGAAAAACTGGTCTGCTTCCATTATCATATTCTCAACAATTCTAAAATGACACTCCCATTTTAAGGGGAAATTATACGGGGGAAAACCCTTTTAGGTAAAAAAAAAGCAAGACATTCCAGAAATCAAAAGGAAATACTACATTCAGTACTATGCATCAGCTTATCTACTGTTTTTCTTCACAATTTATACAGAGACTATTATATTCACAAACAAGATTCTCTACCAGAAATGCAATGTTACATAAAGGACTTTGCGTTTCTCTTTAAAAATGGATATAGCCCACCCCGATTCTCCCTATTGTTTCTCTTAAAAGCTATTTAAGTAGTTGTTAAATGGGTGTGCTGCTCTTCCACCCTGTTTCTCCAGGGTGGTTTACCATTTTCATGGCTCTAGTCAAGATGATACTGAAAAACATCCAGAAAAAGCACATTTGATACAGACAAATGTGAAGAGAAGGATCTTGGATGATTTCTGAAAAATCATTTTGAAACCATCATATATCAGGGGTGTCAAACTGGATTTCTTCAAGGGCTGGATCAGCATTGTAGTTCTCCTCCATGGACCAGTGGGGGGGCAGGGAGATGGGACGGACACCTCCTGCAGCACTCTGCCAGCCAAAACGGGGCACGGGGGCCACATGAGGCTCCCTGCGCCCCATTTTCGGCCTGGTTGGCCTCCTGCATCACTCTGGGGTGTGTGGAGGGTCTCATGTTTTGATTGCCAGAGGTACCGCAGGCCGGTCCTTTGCTATTTCCAGGCCGGCCCCGCTGGCCAGATTTAAGCACCCTGCGGACTAGATCAGGCCCGCGGGCCTTGAGTTTGACACCCCTGATATAATCTAACCTCAGGGAAAGGTAGAAACTTGAATATCATTGCAGTAAAACAAAACAGTAAAACTTCATGCATCAGCAGGGAAGTAAAAGTAAATAGGACCTTTTGCAAAATCAGGAAAAGGAAAAGGAATTTTAGGAATAAGGGTCCTCTGGCTTCCTGAACCCTCGTCATTTATCCTCCTTGGCAGGAATATCACAAGCATTAATTAATATTTGCTCAGAGGAGAAAAAACTGGTTATTCCATTCATTTCTAACAAACTTAGGAGATCCCCAACAAGAATGTTGAATTCTTGTGAACTGGGGTTATTATTTATTTATCAGATTTCTAGGCTGCCCTAATCTGCTACAAGATTAAGTCGGTGCCTTAAAAAAAATGCAACAATAAAAACAAAGTGAAAATTAAAAATTAGATCATGAAAAAAAGAAAGTCAGCAAAATCTACTACAGCAACATAGACTATAACATATACTTTGTCAAAAATGTATTATAGCAAAATATACTATATCAATTAACCAGTGGAACTGCCTGCCTCCAGAAGTTGTGGGTGCTCCATCACTGGAGGCTTTTAAGCACAGACTGCACAGTCACTTGTCTGAAATGGTTTAGGTCTCCTGCTTGAGCAGAGGGGGGTTGGACTAGAAGACCTCCAAGGTCCCTTCCAACTGTTATTCTATGTTCTAAAACACACACGCACATAGACACTGAACAATTTAAAAGATCAAAATAGCACTGGTCTGTAACTCTTCAAAGCAACTACATCTTTTACCAGGATCTCATGGTTGCTTCCCACAGCTATTGCATTATTCCAGATACTTTAAATAGCTTCAGAGGGATAGTATAATTAAACCCCTAAATATTCCAAAATAAGATATTTGGAATAATCATCCAGTCAATTAGGAAGAACTAAATTTCGACTTCCTGGGTGTATTTGGACCTGATTTAAACTCGTGGTCCACAATGAATTACTCCAAAGTGAAAGCCAGAACAAGTCTGGTGATTAATGTCTGCTTATATTTTAAGTTTCAAATGACATCTAGTTACTATTAGTAATAGTGGTGATTACAAATAATTGAAGTCAATGTGAGCTACTGGCTTCTTAAAGTTCTTAACTCTGATCCCTATATAAAGATCCATTCTGAAGTCTAATGAAGTACATAGTCCTTAACATATGACCACAATTGAGCCCAGAATTTCTGTTGTTAAGTGAAACATTTGTTAGGTGAGTTCTGCTCCATTTTATGATCTTTCTTGCCACAGTTGTTAAGTGAATCATTGCGATTGATAAATTAGTAACCCGGTTGTTAAGTGAATCTGGCTTCCCCACTGACTTTGCTTGGCAAAAGGTTGCAAAAAGTGATCACATGACCCTGGGACACAGCAATGGTAATAAGTATGAACCAGCTGCCAAGCGTCTGAATTTTGATCATGTGACCATGGAGATGCTGCAAAGGTTGTAACTGAAAAACTGTCATAAGTCACTTTTTTTCACTGCCATTGTAACTTTGAATGGTCACTAAATGAACTTTTGTAAGTTGAGGACTACCTCTACTGTGGGAATCATAGGAAATTGGAATATTTTAAGCATGATTCCATTAAACAGATAATTTTTATCTCATTTTTAAGGAACAATTTTATAAGAACGTTTTGCTAATAATATACTGTAACTACTGAAAGAGATCATTTGAAAGCAGAAAGGTTTAATATGAAGCAAGCTATAAAACACAAGGTGGACATAATTTTTTTAAAAAATCTTATTTTAAACTGGAGGCAACCATATTTTGACTGTCTTACATTCTATATCATAAGTCATGATAGACCTATATCCCTTTCGAAGGAACATAATCCTCCTACTTAAACAGAATGAATAGGAATATGTATAGGAATATGAATGCAACTCATTAAAGCAACCATGTCTTTTTTTCAGAATCAGAAAGGTGCTATGGAGAGGCTGTTTTTGCAGCCATGCAATCCTGAAATCAAACATTCCTGAAATTCAGCTATGGGAAGAACATTAGTAAGGAACATCTTATTAGAAGCGGAAATCGACTCTAGGTAGTTTCCTATGGCTAATCTGACTCCCCCACCTCACCTCACCACACCCCGCCCCCCCACCTCCACCCCAGAAAACAGCATGATGAGCTCTACACAGAATCTAGCCTTCAAACAGGCTTAACATTTGTTGATGTATTCAGTCACAAAGTTAAACTGAAGAACTCTGTTTATAAGGTATAAGTTGAATCTAGTAACCATGAAGGCTATTATTATTATTGCAAATTCACAAAGATTATGAACTCATTGGTACCCATGGCAGTTTACTGAATAACGTATGATGAGGAAAAGAAAAGTTCAATTCAAGAAATGTATATACAAAGTTAGACCAACCTCCCAGAGATAATGGCATTACACCCTTCATTTCTACCTACACATCCATTGTTCAAAGTGGGTCCATTTTGATGAATTTTAATTCAGTTTCTGAAGTGCAGCAATTTGAGGAAGGATGAGATAAATAGTAGAAGAGCAAAGTATGGGAAATTGATAATAAAAGGAGAGACAAGAAAAATAAGCCAGCTAGAGTTTGGTTTAAGATAAGGGGCTCTAAATATGATGTAAGTAAGTGCTAGATCAGTTCACCTCAGGATGTGCATTCTAACACATAAACACCAAAAAAGAAAAAAAACTGCTTTGAATATCCAGCATTAAAAAGGGTGATAAAAATTACGGTATTTAGAAGCAAGCAGACAAAATGTATGAAGCCACTTAAACAGATGAGCAGCAAAGGCATTAGGAAATTCAACAACATTTTTTTTTTTTTGCTATTTCTGCTGTTTTTTTTTAATGCTTTTTGAAGGGCCATGTTATTCAAAACCAAAGTGGGAGAATGAATTATAACCCTTTGACAGTTTATTCTGAACACACAGCTCCATGTTTTATCTTCCCAGATGATTTTAAAGTGCTCAGTAAGCTTCCCATTCTTTTCTTTCTTTGATACTTTTCTCTTCAGTGACAGAACAGATTAAAAAAGAAATAAATAAACAGGTCTGTGCATGACTAGAAATAGCTGCCTGATTCAAAAAGTGTATTTTCTAAGGGGAATCTACCTAAACAGGTGTATCTTGCACTAAAAAAAAAAAACCACATGCAAATCCTGACAGAAGTTTAACTTCAGTGATTACAATTTTTATTCAAATACAGATCTTTAAAAGCATTCAAACCTGCAACACTATAGAGATACATAATTCTATTGATATCTCTAATAGGCATCATAGATTCCAAATTACTTCATTCTTTACCTTACTACCTGTACTACATTTCAACTTTTATTTTCCTACAAGGGAAAATTCTCAGAATATAGTGCTACATAATTTTGTTGGAAGATATACAGGATAATAAAACTTGCAAAGTATGATTCCCCAGGTCCACCATGTTGAAAAATTAACACAATGAAATCAACAGCCTCCAAGGAAAAACTTTTTTTAGTGTTCCAACACTACAAAAACATCAAACAAATATGAAAAGAAGTTTCAGAATACCCAGATCCAACTTATGCTAATATGGATCTATTTTTAAAAGAATCCTATTTTTCAGCTTAAAAGCTTTTTTTAAAAAAACTTGCAAATCTGCAGAACCTCTAGTTTATTTCTCACACGTTCTAAATAACACAGGTACCTGTCTGTGTTACTCATAAAGATTTCCAAAACAAGCTTAGATACACTTACCCCAACAGTCAAACTGAGCTGGTCTCGATCTGGCAGAAGGACGCAGACATTCCTAAAATCCAAAGGCATCTTCTTTGGTAATAGCTGTTTGCTTATTGCAGAACTGGTTGTAAACTTCTCATACCGCTCCGTCAAGTAACAACACCGCAATCGGAGCCTTGGGAATCAAGCCAACTTTGCTCGGATTTTTTTTTTCCCAACCTGAGGAATAAAAATCCTTAGAATGAAAACGTTGGATGATTTTGTAGATTTTGTAGTACATTAAACAAGTGTTCTTCGTAGCTTCATTCTAAGAAGTAGCTCTAACCACAAAACATCTCTCTCTGAGCTCTGGCATAGTTATAACTAATCTTCTCATTAGTCAGCTCTTTTACTGATTAGCAGCTGGTTACGTTACACAGTAGGTGGGGACACTAACCAGCCGGGAAATTTATCTCAGGGAGGCCCAGGAAAGTGGCATCCACATGCTTGCATTCCCTTCTTTTGAATCAGCTACTTTATCCTGTGTGCCAAGAATCGTAATCCAGAATTACTGGTGGCTGATTTTTTTTTCCACTCACACTTCCCTATGTGATACTCAACTTTTAAAAAGCGAAGTCCTGAGTCATTGGAAAGAAAGAGAAAACAGCGTAAGGGGCAATAAGAATAAAGGAGAAAAAAATTACTTAGACCATTGGACCCGAGATTACAAAGTCATTAGTAAATAGCATTTAAAGATGACTCAGAAGAGGGAGCAATCATGTGTTTCTGTGGAGTTTAAAGTATTAGTGGAAGTATGTGGGGAAGTTTTTCCTTGTAATCTACCGTAGCATCTGATTTCATTGGAACAGGAGAGAAATGAGACACGCAGTAGAAATGCCTGGTGCTACGCAATATGGCACCATTGTATTAGTATCTTTAAGTAGGCAGTGCCTCTACAGATGGCAGTATTTAAGCAGGGATAAGTCAATCCTTCAATATGAGAGCACCTAGTCAGTGTTTTTCAACCTTTTAAAATGAGTGGACTTCAACTTCCAAAATTCTCCAGCCAGTATGGCTGGCTAGAGATTTATGGGAGTTGAAGTCCATCTTAAAATTGCCAAGGTTGAGAAACACTGATGCTGTTGGATAGATGAGCAAAAAGAATGCATTGTAACCGATGAAAGGGACTGGGGGAGAAATCCGTATTTTCTGTTTGGAAATAGTTAAGACTCTTTCATTGTTAAAAATGTCCTGTAATTTTTGCTCCATTGTTGCTCCATTCTGCCTAGTCAATAATTCTTGATTTGCAACACACTAACAGAAACTTATTGGATCCACTTTCTATAGTACATGTCAACTTCATATCCAAATGGAAAATTAATAGGTTTTTTTCTTTCATATTTCCACTTTATAAAGACACTAGATAACAATGTCTATGTTCTCCTTTGACCTTTAAAATTTGTCTAGAACCCCAGTGTGTGCTGTTAGACAAGATTAAATTATTCATGGTTTATATTTTAATTTTGCATAATATAAATTACATACCGATATTTTATTGTTGATCTCTATGTTCCATGCTTCAGTTCTAGGTTCAATGAATTTAATAATATGATTGGGAAAACAGCAGGATATTGAATTAATTGAGCCAATTCAGAATTTATGCCAATAGGTAAAAATCCCTACATGAATTTATTAAGCAATTATCGGTTTAAGATGTGCAGTGAATATGTTAACTGTCTTGGAGTTCTTATTTCACATGATTATAGCAAATAATCACTTTAAATATATATTAAAAATAAGATCTCTTTGGATCTTAGTACATGGCAATCTTCAAACCTTATCCTTTGGAGCAAGATTGATACTCATACAATGAATGAATGGTTTAGAATATACATACATACATACATACATTCATACATACATACATACATCAGGATCCAACTACAGCATGCATGACTGATATCATCCAACATCTGCTAAAATACCTTAAGCAGAAGTACACTTTTAGTCAGCTTCGAAATCTAATTTAAAGTGACAGACTTGAAGGGTTAGAATTGTGGAAGACTGACATAGTCCAAGAAATTATCTTTGTTGATTCCAAGATTTATAGTTAGGTACTAGTTCTCTTTAAAAATGTGCTGATGACCAGAAAATGACCCTTAAGCGCACCTCCTCGGTTAACCATCTGATGTACTTTCCCTGCAAAGCTGAGATCAGCTCAGGCCAGAAAAAAGAGATAACCTTGATGAGTATCATTTAGTTTCCAGATAAACCTGCAGCTAAGATTATCAGTCCAAACCTGCCTGTAGTATATCAATGGTTCCTAAATGATGGATTAGGTCTCCAAACTAGGTAGTTTCTGGAATGTATGAATGATAACATGCAAAGTTAAACCAAGAGGCATCTGTGAATTTACCCTGAATTCTCAAAATACCTCTCTATCCACTCACCCAAAAATGCCAAACTCCAAAACAAACAAACAAAGGAACTTGGCATCTCTTGCTCTAAAATATTGAAAAATAGGTAATTTTAGAGGGAAAACAGCTTTAAGAGTTCCCCCATTTTTTTCTTTTGGATGCTGTTGAAAGCATCCTTCTGGTTCTGATATTTAAAAGCAAAGATGCTGGACTGAAGAGATGGGTTTTTTTAAATGCATTTCAGGTAGATGCCTTAACAGATCTCAAATGTCCCGTTTCAGACATTAGCCCATCTCCTAACAGTTCAGTACTAGAAGCTGAACAAAGTAGTATGAACAAACAATCCTATCAGTCATTTCAAGAACCATAGTTGCACAGCAGGCATTAATAATCAGTAGTGATGATATGATGTAGTATATAATATGCAGTAGTAGTAATATGATGAAAGTTGGAAGGACAGATTAATTATAGCAATAGCACTTAGACTTATATACCACTTCACAGTGCTTTACAGCTCTCTCTAAGTGGTTTACAGAGTCAGCCTATTGCTCCCAACAATCTGGGTCCTCATTTTACCGATCTCAGAAGGATGGAAGGCTGAGTCAACCTTGAGCCTGGTGAGATTTGATCTGCCAAACTGCTGGCAGCTGGTGATCAGCAGAAGTAGCCTGCAGTATTGCACTCTAGCCATTGCGCCATCGCGGCTCTTTTAATGATCAATAAGTCTTGACTATTGAGCCAGTTTGCTGTAGTGTTACGTCACTGGGCTAGTCCTGCCTTTGGCACAAAGCCAACTGGGTGACCTTGGATCAGTCATATCTTCTCGGCTCCAGGAAAGAGGCAATGGCAAACCAGTTCTCAAATGTTGCCAAGAAAACGGCCAAAATTGCAGGTCTTGCCCAGGCACTTTCCAGGAGTCAACATGCATTCAGACATCCCTTGCCACCCCCCAAAACATTTTAGTCTTAGAGGATATAGAAAGATTTTATCATATGTCTATCTAGTCAGATTATCAGAAACTTCTCCTAATTGAGCAACTGCAGACTTTATAGGAATATTTGCCCATTCTCTATATTAATAGAAAGGGAAGAAAACCATGCTTTTTGTAAGCTGTAAAAAGGTGGGAAGAGGAACACTTAGATGTTAGCCTAGTGAACAACTATCCATGAAAATACACATAACATGGAAAGATGTCCAATAGGTTGGAAACAGAATGGCCACAAAGCATACAATAAAACAACATGGTGTGGAATAATCATGCACAAAGTGCCAGCTATTCCTCTTCTAGGATACTCTTTTCCACCCCCTTCCCATTTTACCTCCTTCTCATATCATGACGCTGCATGAAGTCTTTGGCACACTCTAGATCAGGGGTGTCAACCTCAAGGCCCAGGGGCTGAAGCCAGCCTGCGGGATGCTTTAGATCTGGCCTGCAGGGCCGCCCTGAAAATAGCAAAGGACCGGCCCATAGTGCTTCTGCCAGCAAATATGGAGCTTGGGAGGGCTGCGAGCGGCCCTCTCGAGCTCCATTTTCGCTGGCAGAGGGTTGCAGGAGGCCGAAAAAGGAGCTTGGGAGCCTGGCAGAGCACTCAGGCCACCATAGGTGCAACCGATACGAGTGACATTGAGCTTGCCACCCCCACCCTGGCCACCCTCACCCTGCCCCCTGAGGTCAAACACAAACCTGATGTGGCCCTCAATGAGATTGAGTTTGATACCTCTGCTCTAGATCACAGGTGTCAAACTCATGGCATCACGTTGCCATCACGTAATGTATTGCAATGTTTTTTCCCTTCGTAGAGCTGGGATGAGCGTGGCCTATGCATAATGCATCTGGCCTGCGGGCCACCAGTTTGACACCCCTGCTCTAGATGATTCTACACCTATAAATTTGGGAAGTTAACCTGAATCTGTCATTATCTTCTTTTTTGAGTGGATGTACAAAGATGCAGTCTTTGTTACCTAAATTCAGTACAGACGATAGATCGATAGATCGATTAGATACAGTAGATATAGCTATACAGATGATATAGATATATATAGACATGGAGATTCACACATAGACACACACAAGTGATATACCGTACTGATATATATATATTTGGAGAGTACCATAATTGTGAACTAAGTGGAGCTGCATCCTGATAGCAAGCCAAAATTTAGCAGTGAAGTGAGAGAAGATTCTTGCGATGAAAAAAAAAACAGAGTTCCGGGGCCATGATGATTGACATGTGCTTATCCCAAGCATGTTTAAACTCAGTTAGTGATGACTGACCTACTACGTTCGCTGGAAGTTGATTCCAAACTTTCACTACTCTTTCTGTGAAATAATACTTTCTAACATTACTTTTGAACTTCCCTCCAAAGATTATGCCTGTGTCCTGAATTTTTTGCTTAATTTTAAAAAATAAATAAATTAGGAGATGAAAGTCAAAGCTACAGCATATATACCTCAGAAATGTTCTGCTTTCTCTAATTTCTATATGTACATGAATATTGTTGCCTATGAAACAAATAATTTATTAGGGGAGGTGATGCAATCAATCATCAATTAAAATTCCTTCTGATGTACAACAAACTAAATCTCTTTCAAAGCAATTAATTCTCTTTAGAATTTGGTGCCTTATTTCAGTGAAGCTCCTGGGTTCAATTTCTGGGTTCAATTTCTTTCAGTTAAATCTGATTATGAAGGCAAGTATGATTTATTAGATCACATAAAGAATATAAGCTGCAATGTAGTCAAATCACTGGCCCATCTAGCTGAATACTGTACTTGTACTCGCTCCAGAATTTCACAGAGGGCCTTTTCCCAGCCCTACCTGGAGGGCGAACAACAACAAAGAATTAAACCTGAGAAACGTGCATGTATCTTTGCCATGGAGTAAGCCACACCCAAACATCCATCATTTGAATCTTTGATACAAGAGCCATGAACATGGTTACTGCTATGCTCCTGAAATACAATAGACCATCAAAGGCTTAGGTTT